TTCTGTATCTTTTTTTAGGACAGATCCATATGCCAAAATACAAAGGATACTTGACATTATAAGGGCTTCAACCTCCAAGGTGATTGTTGCATTCCTTGCCCGTGCGGATTTGAATGTGCTTCTACATGAGTTTTCATACCATAACTTGTCTGGGTACCAGTGGGTAGGCAGTGAGTCTTGGATATTTGATTCACAAACTGCAGCACTGGACATACATCACATACTGGATGGTGCCATAGGCCTTTCTATTCCCAAAGCACATGTCACTGGCCTGAGAGAGTTCATACTGGATGAGAAGCCACTGAATTCGTCTAATAATAAACTGTTTATTGAGTTCTGGGAGACATTATTTAGTTGTAAGTTTAAGGAGTCATCATCAGACATTCAGAGAGAGTGTACTGGACATGAAGATATGACTGGAGTTCAAAATAGCTTCATTGACATGTCTCTCATGCCTATCTTTAACAACATCTATAAAGCAGTGTATGCAGTGGCCCATGCACTTCACAATATCCTGAGCTGTAATAATACATGTAATAAAAATGTGCAGCTAGATCCATTCATGGTGAGCTTTTTACTAGCTTAAATTACAGTTTTCACATTAAGTTAAATTATTAAGAAGATTTTTAATTCAAAATTGATTCTTGGGTATTTTTCAATCAGTAGGTGTGCAAAAATTGTCATGCAATGAACTGAGTCATAACATATTTCTTAGGTTCTGCAACACATACGAAAGATCTATTTCACAACTAAGGAAGGAGATGAGGTTTACTTTAACGAGAATGGAGATCCAGCAGCAAAGTATGACATTATAAACTGGCAGCCAAAAGAAAACGGCGTTGTGGAGTTTGTCACAGTTGGTCTTTATGATATATCATTAGCTGCAGAAAAGCAGCTAAATCTGCAAAGCAAGTCTTTAATTTGGGCAAGAAAAACAAAGCAGGTAAGCTATCATACAATTTTGTTTTTATGTCTTTGTTCCTTTGTTCAATTTATACCTAATTAGTTTCACATTGTTTGGTTTTAATGCTTCAAAATGAATAAACTGTTTGATACAGAAGATCATTGGGAGATCTTTTTTGTCAAAGTCCATATGGTTAAATGTTCTTGATCATGCAGGTTCCTGTGTCAATTTGCAGTGAGAAATGTTCCCCAGGAACACGTAAGGTTCTCCAGAAAGGAAGGCCTGTTTGCTGCTATGACTGTATAAGATGTGCAGAAGGAGAGATCAACAACATTACAGGTGTGGTGATTAGCAAAATTAAGTATTTAGGAAGGCCAAAGGAGTCGTTTCATCTTGTTACAGGACATATATGTGGTCTCTTTCAAAGGTTGCATGTACCTTTTTGTCTCTGTGCACTCTGGAAAATATTTATAATTGTTTGCACATTCCTTTTAAATGTAAAGTAAAGTATGCCACAATCACAAATGCTGATGGACTCTCTCGATGTCACATCTGTCAATCCTCACTTGATCACAAATCAGGATACTAGTTATTCACTCAATGAAGGCGTTGTTTTTCATCTTCTACTTGTACAGCATCAGTATGATGCACGGATGTTGTAGATGCAAATGCAGGCATAAACAATAATACTCAGTAAGAGTAACATGTACTCCAATATTAATTTCCAGATTCTGCCACCTGTGTGAGATGTCTACCTGAGTTTTGGTCAAATGAAAGAAGAGATGCCTGTATAAAGAAGGAAGCAGTGTTTCTGTCATATGAAGAAATTATGGGAGCTCTGCTTACTGCAGCATCTTTATTCGGAGCATGCATGACGATTGGTGTGATACAAATTTTCTTCAAGTATAGGAAAACTCCTATTGTCAGGGCAAACAACTCTGAACTGAGCTTCCTGCTGCTCTTCTCCTTAATTCTGTGCTTCCTGTGTTCTCTGACTTTCATTGGTCAGCCCTCTGATTGGTCCTGTATGCTCCGGCATGTAGCATTTGGCATCACCTTTGTCCTCTGTATCTCTTGTCTTCTGGGAAAAACTATGGTTGTTTTAATGGCCTTCAGAGCTACACGTCCAGGTAGTAATGTTAAAAAATGGTTTGGGCAGACACAGCAGAGACTCTGTGTTACAGCATTCACTCTTATACAAGTTAATATTTGTATCATCTGGTTAACAACTTCTCCTCCTTTTCCATTTAAGAATTTTAAGGAAATTAAAGACAAGATCACTCTGGAATGTGCTCTAGGCTCAGCTGTAGGCTTTTGGGCTGTGCTTGGTTATATAGGACTTCTGGCTATTTTATGTTTTATTTTTGCATTTTTAGCTCGAAAACTACCCGATAATTTTAATGAGGCCAAGTTTATCACTTTCAGCATGTTGATATTCTGTGCAGTATGGATTACATTTATCCCAGCATATGTCAGCTCCCCTGGGAAGTTCAGTGTTGCTGTAGAAATATTTGCTATACTTGCATCAAGTTTTGGACTGCTAATTTGCATCTTCATACCCAAATGTTATATAATCTTAATGAAGCCAGAGAATAATACAAAAAAACGTATCATGGGGAAGAAGGCACCACAGTCACCCTGAAAACTGAATGTAGTAAAATGAGATTTTGTTTACTTACTTAATAAAATAAAGACACACAATAGTAATTATATGTGTGGTTCGATAACCTTTAGCTTGCATTCACTTCTTATAGTTTCTTGATTATGTTAAAGGCTAGAATTTTTCACATTTAAATTTAATTGACATGGTACTGCAGATAAATTCAGAAAGCATATGTAACCTGCTCAATTCTTCCTTATTTTTCAAGAGGCTGCTATGTATGAATTGTAGTATTAAGTGCAATGTAACTTGATTAGTTGCTTTGCCTCAAGCACTTCTGCATGATTTCTAGAAAGCCGCTACACTCATGAGATACATGGGAAATGAAATGAGGAAAGTTAACCCTTTCTTTTTGCATCACCAGCCAAACCTTTGCTTGGTATTGGAGTAGAAAAAAATGGTATATGATACTTTACATGATGACAATTTACCATTGAAATCTCCTTACTTAACCATTGTAAACACAAATTACTGTAAACAAAAGATAAATTGTGTATGACAATTCACACTGTTTATTATCAGTGTGAATTGTCTGAAATATATCCAAATTCCTTATTAACTTCTATATTAGTGCCTTGTTACGACCTGTCTAGGGGCGAGGTCATAACATGAATGAAGCACCCCCCACCCCCACCCCACCGAATACCCAAGCAGCCACAAGAAACAAATATCTGTTCATTGCAATGCCATTTATTTACAACATAATGAAAAAGAAACAACAAAACACGAGAGTCAACAACTTAGGGTGGGCCAAGGCCAAAATAATAAACTAAACTAAACTCGTATTCCCACACACCTAACCTTACAGAAAACAAAAGCCAAAACCAAAGGCTGAGTCTGACCTCCTTGACCTACACAAAACAGAAGAAAAATGAGTGATCAAAAGAAATGGCAGCTCACCCCTACCCATTCCACCTCCTTAACTGCTAAAGGGAACCACAGCCAGCGGTTGTCACAAGCGTACTGCTCAGGTATTGGGAGAAGCTCGAGAACCTCCCTCGCCGGCAGCGCTCCAGCGCTCATTTAAGAGGTGGGTCCTCCACCTGCAACCAGTCACTTCGGAGCTGTACATTCACGCACTGATCGCAGCAGGGCTCCTGGACAGTTTAATTAACTTCTACCTACTCCTTTTCAAACAAATAATGGAATAATATATTGTAATGATTGTGAAGGCTCATGTTTGAAATGTTTGAAATAAAAATGAACTGAACTGAACTGAATTAACATACCACAGTGCGTTGTCCACACAAAAACAAACACATACGGTCATAGCAACCTAATTTAGACATACCATTGATGCTCTTGCTGAACAAGAAAAAAATATAATTTTATGGGTGTCAGAATTCCTTTTTTTTTACTCTCACATACTTTCTTCTATTAGATGGGATAAAGGTTGCACTTAGCTCGTGCCTGTTGCATCCCCTAATTCTGGAAATGAATTGGCTGGGGTGTAATAACCTGTTGAGGCAGTGTGTGGAGATGCGATCATAACCTTTAGTAGCGTGTACTGACTGAGTAGACCTCACTAGAAGGTCCTGCTGGCTCCAACGATTTGCCCCATGAAATTTTCCACTGAAGCAGTCTCATGATGACCCCTACACTCAGACTTTGACTAAGTGATAGAAATTAATGATTACTTGGTGCACCCTGAAGCCGCATGGACCTTCTTGCACTTCATATTGTTAAATGATAGGCTTTATTGAGTAATTTGTGATACTCGCACAGAGGAACACACACAGTTGTTGTTGTCTATGACAAAACTCTGGAAAGAATAATGGCCAGATGTTATTGGCCGGACATCCACGTGGATTATGGACCTTAAAGTCCATGATTCGGAATTTCATTCATAAGGATGAACACAATTGTGATCGCTGGTTAGACCCTCTGTTGTTTGCAGTGCGTGAGGTGCCCCCTGCAGAAAGTCGCAGGGGTGTTGGACCTGCTTAAAGAAAACTGAGAGGAAGGTCCAAGCCCAGCAAAAAATCAGATTCAGTAGGTTCTGGACCTGAGACCAAAGCTGTACACTTTGGGGAGGTTATCATGAGAGACACTGCTCAAGTCCCAGCAGCACAGAGCAACAGAGGGGCTAGACTCAGGCAGTTTTCACCGGGAGACAAAGTGCTTGTGTTACTTCCCTCTTCCAGTTGCAAGGACCCTTCTTGTTCAACCAGCGAGTGGGAAACAAGTTATCCTTCATATATAACTAATATCACTAATACATATGTATACTATCGTCAGAACACGTGATCAGTACACTAAGGTAAAAAAAATTTCCATCGCAACCTCCCGGAACACTCGTTCACCCTCTGCTCAGACCCTGCTCCGCTGCAGTGCTTCCAGCGCATGAAGGATGCCAACGCCCAGATCACCTGGTGGGATCTGGCTTTTTAGACCTTTAAATTCAAGGTGATCCATAGGCCTGGTCCTCAGATGGCAATGGCCGACTTCCTCTCCCACACCCACAGGAGGGGGAGTAGGTTCGGCCAGATGGCTCCCCAGTCTCGGCCAGGTGGTGAGGGTGGTGGTGGGGATGTGTCTTTGGGGTAGGTGCAGGGGAGGGATGAAGCAGCAGGCTCGAGGGGCAATGCCAGTGAGGCTGACAGGGCAGCTGTTCCTTATCCTCCTAATTAGTGTCTTCCTTTTTCAGTGACGCCAGGATGGGAGAGAGGAGAGGAGTCAGCTGGAAAGCTGAGAAGGCCATGTGGACATGTCCACTAGTTTGTATATGTTTCTCTTTTTCTATATAATTCTCCACTTTGTTCTGTATTCTATTCTACAATCAAATTTAAGATCCTGCTCCTCACATAAAAGGGCTTGAATAACAAGGGCCCATCTTATCTTGAGACCTCATAATACTCATTTCACTCTCAGACTGCAGATGTGCTTGTGGTTCCTAGAGTATTTAAAAGTAGTATGGGAGGCAGAGCCTTTAGCTTTCAGGGACCTCTTTTGGGGAACCAGGTCCTAGATTGGATTTTGGAGACAGACACCCTCTGTACTTTTCAGATTAGGCTTAAGACTTTCCTTTTTGTCACAGCTTATAGTTAAGACTGGATCGGGTGGACCCTGAATCCACCCTTATGTTGCAATAGACTTGGCATCTCATGATACACTAAGCGTTTCTCCTTCTCTCAGCCCTTTTCACTCACCATGTATACATCAATCTACATTTAATTATAAGTTATTATTAATCTGTGGCTCTCTTCCGCGGCATGGCTTTTGTCCTGTCTCCCTCCCCTAACCCCCACTTGGTCACGGCATATG